AAACCCTAAACCCTAAGCCCTCGGGTAATCACTTGCCCTTGCCATGGCTGGGTTTAGGGTTTATTTAACATGTAGCCTTACAAGAATTGAACACGCCTTCGTCTTCGCATGTTCTCGCCTGACCTTTGTCTTCCCATGGCCCTGATGTGTCACTGTGACGGTTTAGGGTTTAGGGTTCCTTAACCCTTGACCCTAAGCACTAAACCTCAAACCCTGAACAGTACAAGAACTAAACCCTCGACACTGAAAAACCTAAACCTTAAACATTAAACCACTTAAACCCTAAAACCCGTAGCCCTAAATCTTAAGAACCAAAACACCTAAACCCTAAACCCTTAGCCCTAAACCCTAAACTCTAAAGCTTCAACCCGGACCCTGAACACTAAACCTTTACCTTCAACCCGAAACGCTCACCAACCCCGAAGCCTAAACCCTAGAGTTTAGGGTTTAGGGATTTTAGGGTTTAGGGTTTCTGTTTAGGGTTTAGGGCTTTTAGGGTTTAGGGTCTAGGGGTTTTAGGGTTTTGGGTTTACGGTGCTTAGGGTTTAGGTTTTTGAGGGTTTAGGCTTGTAGGGTTTAGGGTTTAGGGCTTTTAGGGTTTAGGGTTTTTAAGGTTTAGGGTTTAGGATTTTGGGGTTTAGGGTTTAGGGTTCTGGGTTTTTTCAGTTTAAGCCAAAGTCCAAGTGAAAGTCCATGAGCTGACTTCTCTTGGACTTGGATGTTCAGGACATAGGGCGTCGTTGGGTTTTGGTGTGTAATACAGGGTCGGAATAGTTGGTGATAATTTTCCGTATTGTCCGATTTGTAGTGTGTTATACCCCAGCCCCCCTACTCTACAATTAAATTAGAGCCCCCTATATGATGGTCATCATAGAGGCAAGACTATGTGAATGTGGGCTCCCCCGAAACCCAACAAAGCCTGATTCTTAAAAAGGGCCACACCCACTTATCCTACTCCAGAGGCATTTGGGGGGTTCCTTATTAGAATTATAGTAGAAAATTACACCAAAACCCTACTCTAATTTAATTATTATAAGGTCCCTACATTACAGTCCTAACCGTCAAACCCTGAACTCCGGAAGAAAACCCTCAACCTAAACCCTAAACCCTAAAACCCTGAACCCTAAACCCCAAAAGACTAAACCCTAAACCCTAAAACCCTAAAGCCTGAACCCTACACCCTAAAACCCCAAACCCTAAAACCCTAAACCCTAAACCCTGAACCCTGAAACCCTGAACCCTAAACCCTAAACCCTCAAGCCCAGGATAACTAGAAATTGTTTAGTAAGCAAAATTGGGCAAAAGCAAAAGCAAACCCTGTCAAAACCCGTCTAAAGCCGTACCAAATTTTCGAAGGTGTTTATCATTTTTGGGGCTTTCTAAGAAGCTTCTCTTTCTTGCAAAAAAATGTGTTTTTGTTGCATCTTTTGTGGACTTACCTCCAAAATTGCAGAAATAAGGGTTTTTTGGCCTATTTTGCGGATTGCGGAAAACCCCAACTTGTTGGCCTACTTTGCGGATTCCGGAAAACCCAAAATTGCCAATTTGCGTGGTTTTGGACCCTGTTGGGCCTTCCCAAAACCGCCAGAATTGCCAAAATAAGGGCTTGTTGGCCTATTCTGCGGATTCCGGAAAACACAAAATTGTCAATTTTCCTGATTTTTGATAGTTTTGGGCCTCCCAAAAACCTCCAAAAGTGCTAAAATAAGGGCTTTTTGGCCTATTTTGCGGATTCCGGAGAACCCAAAATGGTCAATCTTCGTGATTTTTGATTCAAGAATCGCCAAAATAAGGATTTTTTGGCGCATTTTGCGGATTCCGGAAAACCAAAAATTGTCAATTTTCCTGATTTTTGATTGTTTTGTGCCTCCCAACAACCTCCAAAAGTGCCAAAATAATGGCTTTTTTGCTATTTTTGCTGATTCCGGAAAACCACAAATTGCAAATTTTCGTGATTTTTGAGTCTTTTGGGCCTGCCAAAAACCTCTAAAGCAAGCAAAATTGAACAAAAAGCAAAAGGAAAAACCCTGTCAAAACCCGCACAAAACCGCCCAAAACTCAGGACCTGAACCCTAAACAATTTCTATAAACCCTAAACCCTAAACCCTAAAACCCTAAAACCTGAACCCTAAACCCCAAAACCCTAAACCCTGAAACCCTAAAACCCTATAAACCCTAAGTCCGGGCCCGACCCTGCAGCCGCAAACCAGAAGCCCTTCCAGCCCTTTAGGGTTGAGGGTTTGGGGTT